AAATGTTAAAGTTGTTGGAATCTCTGATTGCAAATACATAAAGAGCTTTAATCAAATCTGTTCCAAATAAATCCTTCGAGGAAATAGTGCATGTGATGTTGACGAAATTGAATCTTTGCATCAAAGAAATTGTAACTTCTGTATAATAATAGATGATGGAAGGCCAAGTAGCAAGTTTCTTTTACCTTACAAAATTCCTTTAGCTGCTTTCTTAACTTGCCAGTGGTGGAAGTTTGGAACAGATGAAAAAGCGTCCCCCCCCCCCCCCCCCAAAAAAAAAAAGGTATGAGTTAGTTTCATAATTTCATAGCCTGTCACATGAAATCTTTACAGTGCAGTTTTGTTCTTCCAACGAGGGTGGAGCTTTGCACTACTTTTGAACACTGGATCTGTCAATAAGCTAGACTGCGACTCTTCTGCTTGTTCTATGTAGCTTTGAAAGTTAGGGTTCATTAATCTACTGTTGATTACAATGTGTCATTGTTTCACCATAGTATAATTAGAAGTCCGCATTATGATAAATTAAAGCAACTGTTTTTTCCTTTTTTGCAAGCTTGTTGTACTTCTTTAATCTTATTTATAACTCACTTCTACCATGATTTACTAGAATTAAAAAAAATTTTAAAACTCATTTACTCTTTTTAAAAATTGAATATAAGTTTTCAACTTTACTCCTATTAAATATATAATATACTGATATATTCTAATAATATAATTTCTCTCATCAATATTTAATAGAGGGTGAAAGGAAAATTTTGCTATAAAAATTTAATGATGCGGCTTATAAATGGGATGAAAAAATCTTCTGTCTCTGCCTTGTAAACAAGAACAAAGGAGTATCGAACTTCATTAACTTGATTATTAGAGGCTTCTACTCACTGCTTTCATTCTGTGCAGGTGCCTTCAAGTCATTGAAAAGTTGGAGTCTTGTTGTGAGAAATGCAATTATAAATCAACACATTGCGGTTCCCTTTCAGGGCTTTTGAAGCAGAAGGCTACAGGATAGAGCTGTGTTCTACTGCTTTAAGATTACTTTTAATTGATGAGCGATGACATTGATTACTTTAACTTAAGAAAAATCCTTAATTAGATTGTGTCAATCAAATATTGTAAACAAATCAAGCCAATTGTGAAGAGACACCGCTTGAGTATGTCAGACATTTTTCAATAGGAGCTTTCTCATGCTTGTATGGATTAGAAATTTGAAGGGATAGAAATTAACAGGTGTTGGTCTTGTTGAAAAGAGTAGACTTCATTTAAGTAAATTACTTGCATTTAAATATGAGTGTAAGCAAAAGACACGTTTTGGAAGCTACCCTCGATCTAGATTCAAATTCACGGGAGTTCAACATGGTTTCAAATGCACAAGTTCGCTACCAAAAAAAAAACAAAGAAAATTAAGGGGCGGAAGCTATGTCATCAAATATTAAATTCCAGGGAATATAATTGAGGAAATAATAACATTGGTAATAAATTGTAAGCAATATTATGTTACTTTTTTTTATCAAAAACAATTTATAATAAAATATTTATGTTAATGCATCAGTGGCAGTAGTAGTTGCTGCCGCTCTTGCAAATTATAGGTTATAAATGAAAGAGTAAGAGATTTTCTGTTTTTGTTTTGTTTTTTTTTTTTCTCACATAATTATTTAACTAGGTTAGATTCGAACTGAATTTAAATGAGGATAGTTTTTCCTTGGCATTTTTTTATATTTGCACAAAACTCAAATTTAAAACCTTACCTGAATAGTTATACCCTTTTCAGAAAAACCATAACATATTGATAGTAACATGTTAGTTGTTAACAAGCCACAAGTTACAGATTGCTAGCGTTTTCTTTTCAAGTAAATTGAACAAGTTTTATCCAGAATATTAGTTGAATATTCTCTTCCCAGAGTGGAAATCCTTCTATTTTAGTATTTTTAAATTAAATGATCCAGATGCTTGGAAATTATTTGATTACTCAATACTAAAGTCAAGCCTTGACGATAGAAAGCAGATATTCCAAAACGAAACAAAAGAATGGAATCTTCTCTTGTTTTGAAATGAACAAGTTGCAACCTACAGATTGATTCAACATGACAGTGTAACTCACCCAAGAAATGTATATAAAACACAAACATGATTTGGCAATAACGAGATTTAAAGAAACACAAACAGCATTACATGTTAATAAGATCTCTCGACATTTTTTCTGAAAATTAAAGCAAGTTCTTGATCCTCAACCACCAAAAACGTTTTAACCTTCTAAAATATTCTACCTCGTATAAATATTTAAATCAAATAGTCGGCCTTTTTTCTCATATAAAATAAAAAAGGCACTTGCACCAATGTGCTGTATGGCAATTTGCCTGAATACTAGATTTTTAAAATCTGATTCCTTTTTTTATATTAAAAAAAGGCCAAACAATTTGAGTTTCACAGGAATAAAAAGTAGTTTCTCACTAAACTAATACGCAAAGTGGAAATACTTAAGTTAAAAACCATTGATGAGCTAGATACAGAGAAACAAGGAACCAATAAGAACTCGCTAAATCAGTAAACCCCTTTTTGTGAGTCTCAATTGACTCCTCGCAAATGATTGCAAAGAGTGAATGTGTATATAAGAATGTTGACAACATTTTCAATATTTGTTGCAGAGAGCTACCTGGATTAACTGAGATACACTACATAATAGCAATAATAATAATAATAATAATCAGGAAGCAGAAAATTACATTGGACTGTGTCTTCTGATGTGTGGAGCTTAGAGAGGGGTGTTACAAGGCAACATCAATCAATAATCATCAGGGAAAGCCAAAAGAACCATGACAGGACAATCTCATCCTTCCATATCCCAACTGTATCAGAAAATGAATATATGATGATGACGACGATGACGACTGGGGGGCGGAAAAATCTTGCTCAAATACAGTGTGACCTTCACAAGGTCCCTCCCCACGAGACAAAAGTATGAGAGAATTGCATGCAATGGCATGGCAAAAAGTGTGTATATTTATATTTTTATATATATATATCTATATATCTCTATATATATCATGATGCTCTAACGATTCCTGCCGTCTTAGGGGAATCCCTTCACCATTACCGAAATCATCATCTTCTGAATGCTTGGGAAGTTTGACGGGCAAAGTTGTTGGTAACCTGTACATGGATTGATTACCAATATCAATATAATACACGTGATTTATAAGAAGTCATCACGAATAGTACGACTCATTTCAAAACAACTCCAGTAAATGTCAGACCACACATCCAGTTGTATTAATAATAATCAATGGTTAAGTGTCAGTGTGAGAAAGCATGCAGATAAAAACAGACCATGGATGCAAATGAACTGGACTAGTTTAAATTCAAGTCCCGAAAAGGTTGATTTTAGCTAGACTTGTTTATAAAAAGTATAAAGCTTCAGTAGCTGATCGAATTTGTTCAAGTAAATGAGACAAACTTAACAAAGTATTCATGATTTATTTACACGCATATTTTAGTAACTCCATTTTTTTCCACTTTGTTCCACATTCTAGCCAAATAGATACGGAAAACTTCCATTTGTCCCCATGCTAACCTGTCTATTATGGGAATGTCGAAATGAACCTATTTAGTATGGGGAAAATAGAAAAACCAATTTGTTGGAATGTCAAAAACTAACCGCTGATTTTGAAAGTTCAAGAGCTATTTGCAAGTAAAAGAAATTAAGGGGACTTTATTTTCCCCTTTTTAATAAATTTATCTTGTGCATGTGGATGCTATTATGTTTGCAATGGTTTTATTTATCAAAGATTAAGCTTGATTATAAATTTAAACTTGATTAAAGGTCAAGCTAGAGTTAGAGCTCAGCAAATTCCCAAACGCGAGAGAGAGAGAGAGAGAGAGAGAAGGCATTCTAAAGCTAGACTAGACCCGATTATTCCTGTAAACAAGAGGATGCGAAGGAAATCGAATCATTTTGTCCTTGGGCAATTTTGATGATCAAAGATTAAAGACAAAGATAAAAGATTACCAAAAGAAAACGAAGTTAGAGATAAAGGATTGGCGGAGCATACCCTCAGCCATATCTTTAGTTTGTGAAGAAAGAAAAGTTCCTGAAAGTATCGTCACAAATCCACACATCTCTGTGACAACTTTGGTTGGACTCTGCCTATCCCAGTCCTGATATCAACTTCAGAAGGTAGATTAAGTGTCAGTCATCCAAAATGGAAAACAGTGAACAGACACTGCTAGTCAAGCTTTAAACATACATTTTATATATAAGATTCAAGTAAAAGACAGAAATTACTCATTTAACGGACTAGATGATAAAAGTAATAATACATCTCACCCAAAAAAAAGCAATAAAATACAAAGGGCAAACAAGTTGCCATAGTGTTTGTGTCCAAAAGATTTTAAAACTAATGCATGCTTATTCACGGTACAGGTGGGAAAAGTTTCGCACTCTATCAAAAATAAAGGCTTTTGATCATCAACAATCTAGTCCTCAACTTTTCAGAAGTTCATTTTAGTTGGTCCATATAGGATCCACAATGCGCAAAGACAGACCAAGTGGGAATTTGTCATAGATACTCCCTAGTCCTACTTAAAAGGTAGAGAGAGAAGAGTTTTTTTTTTTTTTGTCTTATTATATAGTAATGTACTAACTAAGGTCATTGACATTTTTACAAGAAGTTTCCGCTTTTACCCCATTAAATGCTGATTATTAAAGCACATATATTTAATAGAAACAAAGCTGAAAATTTATTAAATTTTTAAACAGAGTTAATGAATCTTAAAGTTTTTCTTGGTAGTGAAACATGTCACAAGTGACCTGTAAACAAGACTGAAGAGAGTATGTATTTAATGCCTTCATAAAGTCTTTAATTTTTGCTAAAAATTATGCATTTGTCCCCCTCTAAAATTTTGTATTCCCCCCTCTTACTAAATTTTTTTATCAGTTGCCACTAATGCTTCAAAGTCTTTAACAATCTTCTAATTAAAACCATATTTAATTTTTTTTATATTGATCATAAGAAATTATTAAATTAATTTTTTATATTTACTTTAGAAATGACCAACAAGTATACTTTCCAACCTCTTATTCACACTTTCATAAAAAAAATTTCTTTAATCACTCTCTATATATTATAAAAATAAAATTTCAAATAAAAAAAAATGACTCAGTTAATGTTGTTGTACTTGCGTATATTTAAAAAAAGAATGCAAAGGCAATATAAAAGAGGACTACAGAAAAACTTTTATTATAGAAGTTTACCCCAGAAAATTCTATTCAATAAAAACTAAAACAATATGAATATAATGCGCGTAATGCCCAATAACATTTCATCATCTCATACATACACACATACATGTGTGTGTGTGTGTGTATCAAGACATTGAAATGTATTTTGATATCAATATATTCCTTTTTTTAATTATAATTTGTTTTTATTTATAATTCTATTTTTTCGTAAATTTATTATTAGTAATTTCAAATATTTAAAATTTTTTATTTTTTTATTATTATAATTCAAAAGTTTAAAATAATTTTAAATCATTATAAATATTTTTAACTCCCCCTCCCAACAACAACAACAACAAATTTTCTCCACGTTCCACCTGTGGGATGCAGTTTCTTTTCCAATATTCAGTAGGATCAATATATGACATCATAAATGAATTAAAAATTAAAGATTAAATATTATCATTGGACATGATCCTTCAATAAACAAGTGGTCAACCAAGTTAGTGAGCTCAAAAATAACAAGTTAGTAAAGAATACTTGCCTTAAACATTATAACACTAGCCAGAATGGTTAACGATGTGAACATAACATAGTATATGGGAGATACCACCGCAGTGTTGAAGGTATCCAGTGCCTGAATGCAATAAATGAATTCATCACATGAGAAATAAAACAGAAAGCACCTACAATCAAAACATAAAAAGAGAAGAGAGGCAATAATAGATATAAGTAATTACATTATTTAATTATTGAATTAATAGTTATTAATACTAAATAGCAGCAACAAGAACATGATCCAGCACCTACTTTTCTATCAAGGGTTTGAAACATAATAGATTCTGACTCACCTTGACCCACTTTTCAATGGACTAAGCAAGAACCAGTCAACCCGCACCTATTTGGCGATACTTTAAAATATAGGATGATTTTGAAATCCATTTTAACATTCTGAAGCACGGAATCTAGGTGGAAGTATGAAATTTGTTCAAGTGGTTTGTCCCCAAAAAAAAAAAAAATCAGAAGAAAGAAAGATTCCAAACCAAAGTGAGAAACAAACTATCAGAGCTTCTCCCATATCTTTAAACCTACTTGGCTACTGGCTGTTAATCTGTTTTATCGACAATGTTTTATTAAGTCATTGCAGATTCCTTAATCATCTTGAAGCAAATAATCACTCGGTCCATTTTTTAAATTCAATTCCTTATACACCAGGCAGTAGCATAAATCAGTTCTTTCACTGGTTAAGTTGGGAAGAACAGATTTCAAAATCAATCACAGAAGTTCACTCGAAGACCTCAAGGTTGCAGATCATATTAGTACGCTTGAAAGTGTGTCACAAGAATATTATTTTTGGTTTAAGAAACATATTACATGGAATTCAGACAAAGAAGCTTCCTATAACTAAAACAAGCAAGAAAATTAACCATTCATGATACATATGCAAAGAACATAACGGGGATATCTTAAGTTTGTAGTGAAAGTCAGAGTGGAAAGTCAAATAAACCATTTATGATACATAAAATGAATATAGAATTCAGGAAACTAACAAGATAAGTAATCAAATTACCATGTTTAAATAATTCATTTGGGTAAGAACACAAACAGTCACAACTAGAGTGAATGCCCAAGTTTGGGGAAAAAGTAGTTGATTCATCCCTGATAGAGTTAATTTTATGGCAATTCCAAGCGCCTTAACACTCATGACCTGGCAAAGAATAAGTTTAGAATAAAAACACCAAGAAAGGGCATAATATGGGGAAAGAAAAGAATGCTAGAAACTTGTTGACAATCAGAGCATGAGACATACCGTTATAGAACCTACAAGGGAACAAACACCAATATAAACCATTATGTGAGTCTGGCCATATAGAGGAACGAAGTGGAAAATGAGAATTAAGACAGCTATTAGAATCAACGTTGCGAAAATGAGAAATGCTGCCAAAATAAAGATGATTGTCTCTCAGTTGGTATGAAATAATAAATAAGATATTTTAGATGAAGAGATTAATATTTTAGGCAAGAATTTGGTTACCAGGCTCCATGGCAAGCTCCCATACTTCTATCACCGAGTTAATTTGCTGTTCTTGAGGTGCATGGAGGACAATTGTTGTAGAACCCACAACGCACAAAACACAACCAAGAATGCCAAATACATGCAACTTTTCTCTTAAGATAATATGAGCAAGTGCAGCACTGCAATAAAACATAACAATCAGCATTTACCACATAGAAGGGGGAGGCATTATATGAAGCTAGTTTTTTCATGCCTGATTATAATGCTGAGCGCACCAAGTGGAGTCACCAATATAGCTGGAGCAAATGCATATGCTGCAAAATTAGCGATTTCTCCAACAATCACTGTTGAAATTGCAAATGCCTGTTAGAATACAAATTTCAACTAATATCATTAACTACAGCCAATTCAGATAAACTAACTGAACAGTGAAAAATTGGCACTACCCTTGAGTTTGTTAAAGGTACTTCAAGGAACTCAAAATATTTCAGAAGCCTAGTAGCTGCACTGCCACCTCCATCCACTTTTAAGATAATTAGCAAGTAGCAATATCACTCATTTTTAAAATTATTTTCCATCATTCCCACCAGTGTCTAGAAGCAGTGTGCCTTCTCATGTTGCAGAACTTCAGTATGGCATAACCGATAGCCATAATAGGTTTAGCTTCACTGAGGTTAATAATTAACGATGCTTCCAAATCAATCACCAATTAATGAATCCATCTTCTATCTCATTCTCATGAACTCATGAAGGAGCAGCAGCTCCCATTATTTTTGCTAGGGAAAAAAAAGCAAAAGCTTTCAAAAACAAAGCAACCAAATGGATGTTGAAGAACTGTGGGTGGCAACAAGTGATTAAATAGTGTTCAGGGATTAGTGAAGTGGCTACCGGTAATGCATCCAAAGTAAATAATATGGGAGTCTCCAACTATGAACCTTATGCTAAGAGTCCTCCCAGCTATTTTGTTCATTTTTTCCATAACTGCAACTTTCTAGAGACTTGGTAACATGTTTGCTTTCCCCCCTATATTTCTCTCTACCAATGTTCGCAACATAATTTCATTCCCAAAAGATCATAAAATCATATAAACAAAAGCCATAAAACAATAAAATCAAAAAAATCCAGCACACAATTAATAGCCAATCCGTGACCAAATAGATTCATGTACAAACTCACTTGTTATCATGCCCACCCACCAAAGTGGCTCATATAAGTAAGAATAGCCTCCACTTCCTGTCAAATAAGATTGCTTAGAAAGTCAGTCACTACAGCCCATGATAAATTGCATGGATGTTCAGCCAACATTACAAGGCATAAACACAATGGCATTGCATATACAAATAATAAGATATGCATTTTAACAGCAAGTGCAAAAGCTAGAGATATACATGCATTACGCAACTAGCAAAATGACAAGTTTAAACAGTAACACCTCCTAATCTACATGATTGAAGCATTTTGTATGTTCAAACAGCAGAAACACATATGAAACTTAACAAAATAATGCATCCAATTTAAACTTTGGACTACTGAAGTGAAAACCGCTTAATGTTCTATTTCGGTGCAGATCTCACATCCAGTGAACCAAATTTTAAAAATGAACTAGATAACTAATAGCAGCCAACAAACATGAGCCACATAAAGGAATTTCATCATCTAATTTCTGAGTATGAGATGAATCATATGACCCGACCATAGCCAATAACAACCAGGTTGAAACCACATATATAAAGCCATATCAAATCACTAAACTACTTATAATCACAAATATGCTAATACAACCCACTTGTCGGACAGCAAGATCTCTTCTTAAGAAGGAAATGGTCGTTAACATTCCAGTAACAATATCCCTTCCCAACTTCCATCTGATCCATGATCAGGCCTAGGAACAGAACAAATCTCGAATAGCCAAACCAATTCACCCCCAACCCACTGGACCGCATCCCAATATTGCTCAACTGTACCCATATTTAGTCCTCTAAATTGTGGAATGAAGACCCATAGGTCTGGAATCAATTGAAGATTTGACGTACCTGCCCTGATACCACTAGCACCCGCCTTTTTCAACCCCTTCTTCTTAACAATGAAGCTAGCACCGATAAAGAAGCTAGACGACAGAGCAAGACAAAGGCCCTTAATATTATCAGAGGACATGCCCTCACGCCAGCCCGTCATGGCAACGGACAAACCCTAACTTAGCAGAGCGATGCTTGGATTACCCAGCACTCAACTCAAGCCAACCCAACCCAACGGGTACTCCAACAAAGGTCAATAAACCGAGCGGATCTTCGAAGCAAACAAGGAAGAGCAGCTTCAGAAGCCAAAATCTGAAGAAAAAAATTCTGCCAGTGCAGTTTGGTGGATGATACAGCTGTGGCGTGAGAGGTTCCTCAGATTTGGAAATGTATTGCACAACGCACTCACAGAGAGGGGGGGGGGAGAGAAGAAAGAGGTAAAAAGAAATTTAAAAAAAAAAAGGTAAGAATTTGATTTTACTCTCCCTCTCTCTCGCGGTGTCACTCAGAGTACAAAAAGTTTGATGAGCACTCTCTGCTACAACAAGTTCATGATTTTTGATACCATCCTCCTTCCTGCTCTCTTTCTGCTACGATGCCGTCTCTCTCTTTCTCTCTCTATACATATACATATAAACACACACAAATAGATCTTTCTTTTTCCAATCCGAACCCTTCTTCTCTCTATATTTTTGTGAACCGAAAAAACCACACGAAATCTCGCCCCTCTCTCTCCCTCTCACTTTCATCTTCAAATCCACCTTCTTTATTACACTAATCGCGCCGTCATCCAAAGTAGAAACCGTGAAGATATCAAGAAATTTGCTGTCTTTACTCGATTTAGGCTTCAAAATTGTCGATTAAAATCTTTTCCTCCGGGAAAAACACCTGAAATATCTTCCATAATCTTTTAAATTTGTTTTCTGAACTAAATAAAATACCCGAAGAAAAAGGTATTGGCTTGAGAGTGAAAATGCTTTGATAAATCGACTTATATAACTTAAAAAAATATATATTTTGTTTTTGTGGTTGACTCATTGCGACAAGTTTTGGGCAGAACACCTGTAAATGAAATGTCATGCGTGTGCATTTTAAAGAAGAAATGTCACGCAAAATGAAATTGACCGGCAAAAAGTAATTAAAATTGACATGTTTTTATATTTTAAAAAAAGCACCCGCTATTTTAAACCTGGCCCGTGGAGTTAATGGGACTTTAATGAGTACAAGATTAATATGTATCAAATCAGATGAGAACTTTTTTTGTTTTTTTAGATGGAAGCCTTATCATTGGCGCTACTGCTCATAGTATGGAAAATTTGAAATTCAAGGTCAACTTCCTCGGTGGAAAAGGTAAATTGTTAAATTAATATTTCAACTAATTTAATAAAAAATTATATTTATGATCAATTTGATTACAATTTGGCTACGATTTTAACTATTAACTCTTAAATTAATGCATTGACCCGATTCAATAACTAGTTCAGTTTTAAGTACTTTGATGTTGCTTTTTAAACTTTTTAATTATTTGAATTAAGGTTCTTTTATTCTTGAACTTTTTTTAAAAAGTGATGGACATCTTGTACTGATAAGTGGAACTATTTTCCATTTGAACCATTTTTCTGATGAGCAAATAATCCATTATGTTGGTTACCCATTAACTTTGTTGTATTCTACTAACATGGCATGTTTGTATGACCCACACATGCTGTGACAAGTAAAACGTTGACAATGTTCTTTATTGTTAATTTATCCCTTACTTTTTTTTCAAGAGCATTGGATACACTAAAATATTGTTAGCATAAAATTAATAAACATGGTTAAAATAAATATTTTAATATTTAATAATTTAAATATTATTATCTATAAATATTCATCCAGAATTTATAAATTATTTTTTAAATATTATCAGCTTGAGCTAGTTTTCAAAATTTATAGATGGCTTATAGTTTTTTTTATATATCAATCATATTTTTAATATTAATTGGATTACTTAAATTTTTAGGTCTTCATTGTAATTTTTTGTCAATTAACTGTTTTCCTCCAAAATATTAAACCATCTAAATTTAATAGGGTTAAAGGTTAATTTTACGCCTGAACTGTACGTAAAGGTTTACAAATGATCCTAAACTTAATTTGGGGTCAATTTTATTCCTCAACTTTAGAAATTCAGTTTGACGTGCCCCTGACGTTATTTTCCCATTATGTAGGTCCCACATTTAAATTTTTTAATATTTTGTCATAAAACATATTAATAGTAAGACCCACCATTTTTAAAATATTTTTATAAGATAAAAGAACTCTCTCTCCTCCCATCTTTCTCCTTTTCTCTCTCCACCCCACCCTCTTCTCCATCTCCTCCCCAGTGTCTCTCCCACTCTCTCTCCCCTACTCTCCATCTCCAACCAGCCCACATAACAATGCCACCTTACCATCTAGCCTTCTCTTTGTCTCCATTGGCATGGTGTGGCTCCTCCCACCATTATAACTACCTTACCCTCCAACCTGTAAAAACAAAGCTCAATTATTTCCATATACCATAATGGCATCATAATCAAGTCTTTTGTTCACAGTTCATTAGCGTCAGCCAAAGATGATAGGTTTGGTAAAGGCAATGCCGTGCTTGGTGAAGCATTTGCCTAACACCGACGCTATGAGTGGTGAATCAATAGCTTTAAACTAAAACGATGATCCCAACCTTCTCTTTTTATCTCTCCTCTCTCCTCCATGTCATGCCCATATGAACTTCTCCTTCATATTTGCTGTTGACACCATCTCCAAGTTCATCATCGTCTCGATTGATGCTCACGTTCTAGGATAGAATTGCAGAGAGAGAAAAAAAGATGACATGTGATGGTATGGTAAGTATACGTGGAGGTAAAGAAGGACACGATGTACATAGTGTCATGAGGTAGAGAACAATACAACATACGGTGGCCATCAACATGAGGTTAAAGAACTCACACAGTCGCTTCTAAAACTTCTCTTTCTATGTCCATTCACATTTAATTCATGCTCGTGATAATTAGTACAAGCCCATGTACATGTGGCTTCAAAGAACAAAGGATGAGTCAAGCCTTTAAATCCAACATAGTATGCAAAGAATTGAGAATGATGATGGGATTAGCATCCAGTCTTTGCCTAACTTTTTGAATATCATGAAAAATGATTTCATACAACATGCTTACATGACTCCACATGCAACGTCTCCTACTTTTATTCTACCACCGCCTTCGATTGAGCTTGGATTTATTGCAATTACTAATAAAATTTTTGTGCATTTATGGCCTTCCAAGAAAAGGACACATGCTCTATTTTGTTCTCTTAAAACAGAGCTTGCACTCAGTTCTGGCTTTGATTGGGTTTGAACCCACTTGCATGCATATCAAGAACCCACATGCGTGCTTGCGTGCTCTAGATTCTATTAAAGCAAGAGAATAGGCGAGCATGAATGGAATTGCATCTTTGCATCACATAAGGCGAAGTAGAGGCTATTTCCTTAAGGTTGAGGATGGAGGCACATAAGGAAGGTGGAGCATATCCAAGTAGTTCGGCGATGGTGAGAGATGATGATGAAACATAAATGTTGGTAGAAAAGAGAGAAGATGTTGCCTCATAGTGGCAAGAGTATGTGGAAGATAGAGAAGAAATTTTTAAATTGTTAAAAAAATATTTGGTAGGATCCATAATAAAATATTTTATAACAAAAAATTCATTTGTGAGCCTAGCTAACAAAAAAAATAGATAGTACAAATGACAGGGTGATATATTTAAAAATTTTAATGGTTAGGAGATATAAATAATCTATAATTGAGTTTAAAATCATTTGTGCGCTTTTGTGACTAGTTCAAGGGTAAAATTGAGCTTTAGCCCAATTTAATACTATTTGTACATTGTAGTTCTAGGGATAAAATCAAAAACATGACAGACTAGGACTAACGACATGCAACAAAAATGCTTATTAAAAAAATATCATTTGTCCTATTAATATGCCACAAAAAGAGCTACTTGACCAAAAAAAAGTGGAAGGATGAGGGAGGAAATATCTCTGTTAATTTAAAGGTTCATTTTATCAGTTAATTTGGAGTTTTATTTTCTCCATTTTTAACATAAAATTACAAAAATATTAAAATATTAAATTTAGGCAGTATGATATTTTGGAGAAAAACTGTTAGTGATTAAAAAAAATTACATGATGATATAAAAAATTTAAACAACTTAATCAATATTAAAAATATAATCAATATATAAAAATTACAAGTAATCTATAAATTTCTAAAAAATTATTTTTAGCTGTTAATATTTAAAAAATAATTTATAAGTTTTGAATAAATATTTATAAATAGTAATATTTGAATTATTAAATATTAAAATATTTAATATTTTTATAATATTTATTAAATTTTATTTTAACAAAATTTTAGAACTCAATGTTTTTAGAAAAAAAAGCTCAAAAATAAATTAACATTAAAAAATAAGGTTAGAGTTTTATATATTATTGTGCGTTGATTCCACACAACAAGTGACTAGTGAAAGGGTTTTTTCCTTCTCCGAAACATAATTCATGAGAAAACTACTCACTTATGAATAAAGGGGTACCCAAGGCTTCTAACAAAAATTTAAGATAAAAAATAAAAAAATAACAATAAAAATCACTAAAAAATTTTATATTAATTAAAAATTAGTTGTTATTAAAATTTAAATAAAAAAATTTGAATTAATTATTGTTAATTTAAAATAAATTGTTGTTAAAATTCGATAGAAAGCTAACTTAAATTAATAAATATTTATTCTGATTTTGACAATAATTAATACTTAGTTGAAATAAATTTTCTTCTTGATTAATATTTTTTCTTAAAAACACCTTAACCCTAGTTATCTTTTGTTCTTACAATGTGATTGGACTAAATTTGTCGGTCGGGAATGGTGCTACCGGACCAGCCGCGAATTGGACAGAACCAATGAAATCATGTAAAAGAAAATTAAAAAAAAAAATAGTCTGGTTATTTGTTGCAAATTGCAATGCTTATTTAGTTATCACTTTTGAAATGCTAAATTTCTTTTTAAAAATCTATTTTTCGATTTTAATATATTTGGTTAGCATATTTTTCGTTTGAAGTAAAGCCCGCCTACAAAAGCAAACACGCATATACTGCCTTCAACAAAGTAATGGTAAATTAATTTTTTTAACCAAAAATCCTTTTAAACTAAACAGAACTTTTAGTGGATGAAATTTATTTAATTTTATCATTGTTACAAAGTGATATCATCTTTGGATATTTTTTCCTATTCTAACTTTTTGGTATAAAAATTATTCTCATACTTTGTTCATTTGTTGTGAATGGTTGAATAATTTGTGACTTATAGTAGTAGATAGTGTCACTTGTAAGTATTTGTATATTATATTATATATATATATATATATATATATTGATTGATGATATTGATGTTATATAAGTATTTTTCATAAAACAGTTATTTTTTAGGTGACAAAATGTAAAAGATACAAAGTCAACATTCTTCCGCATGATTATTAATAATCGTGGACCTAATTAATGTTCATTATGATTATCAATTATTAGTTGCTTTAAATTTATGTAATTTAGAAATTATTTAAATTGGAATATTCAGATTTTTACCAGAATTGGAATATTCTGTCTTGAAATCTATTGTTAGTAGCTTTTTTATGTTATATAATATTTTAATATGAAATAAAATATATTAATTTATTCATTATTGTTTTAATTAATTACAGTTAAATTAGTAAACTTTAAAGTAGTTACTTGATCGATTCAATTTAAGGGTACCCAAAATCAGACAAAGCAGATTAAATTAAACTGAATAGAGAAAAATTTATTTTAAGTAAGATTTTGTTGGGACCCAATTGGTTTGATTTGATTTCCTTTTTGTTTGAATTTTAA